TTTGTTCTTAATACAGTTACATTTAAAGGATTTGTTGTGGAGCGAGGAGAACTAAAATAGCCTATAGGCTTGCTATTGTGTTTACTGCTTGTTCATTAGGGCCTATAACATTCCGCTTTATTTACCGCTATTATTTCTGAATGTAGGCTAATTGCGGTTTGTGCTTGAAGTGAAAGTAACTCACAAACTTAAAAGTAGTGTAACGCATTACAATTCAGAGACAGTAATATTGTAATGTAACTAATTACTTTTAAAAGGAAGTAATAAGTAAAATATAATGTATTATATTTTGGAAGTAACTTGCCCAACACTGGAGAGGACATTAAGTGATGGGAAAAGTGGGGAGAAATGGGGAAAAGCTTCACTCGTCATAGCTCACAAGGGCACAGGAATTTCTGTCCTTTGAGAACACCCACCTCATCTCCTCCACTTCCCGTCTACTCTCTTCATATTTTCTCTTCCACTCCATGGCTTCTTTCTCTTTCACAACAATCTGAAATAAGAAGAGCGTTACTTCACACACTTTACACCCTGGAAATTGTTAAACCAGTGTCATTCTGGGTTCATGCGAATCTGGGATGTCCTTTGCCATGTCTCGCACTGTAAAAATTTGTAGTATTTGCATATTTATGAGGGTAATATTATAATATTATAGCGATGAAATGGAAGTAGTGACAGATCTTTTATTGTGATGTATATCTGAGCAAAACAGTTTATTGAAAAAGATCAAATTTAAGGCATAGACTTGGTTCTATCAATCGGTTGTTGATTGGATTTTGAGATGTGGGCGTTGCAATCAATAATGAGTGCGAGCTTGCAGTCAGTCATAAGAAAGGGAAGGGGTTTAAGCAGACCAAATCATTGGAATAGTCTTTCATTTCATCAGAAAATTGAAATATGAGAAAGTGAGTAATCTCATTTCATGCTGACTTTAAATCTTCTGAAATACAGAAGAAAAATACTCTCTCATCACTCCAGTATATCAACATTTTGAACTTCCCTCCGATACTGAAAATGAACACAGCATGGGAACGTTTCTCTGATTGTCCAGAGTTTGTGAAAATTTAACAATGTGTGCATTGAAGCCTTTTATGATTGGTTGTCATTTTGGCACTGCAAATGCAGGGTTTCAGAACCCAGAATTAAAAGTGGCGTTAACCACCCCTTCAAAATTAAATATTAAATATTACCTAACCCAGAGCTTTAACCACTTTATTTACATTTACAGATTTACCTTAAGTTAAATTTTCACAAAATGTGAAATGACAAGACTAAGATACAGGTTAAGATAAATTTTTTTTATTATTATTGTGGTGTGGCATCATGCAATGGGTGAGTACATACCTCTTCTCGGGCAATGCCAAGAGAGTGGTCCATGTCACGTGGCAGATGAGGGCTTTCCCCTTCAATGTATCCTGTTCGTGAATAGAGGGAGCTCTTCGAAACCCCGCTGTCCCCTGGTGAGGCCGTTTCTCTCTGCTGCAGAGGAGAGAGTTGTGGAGAAACCATGAAAAACCTGTGAGTTTACTTCTGTAGAACAACATTTACTTTACACATCTTGGAGGGAGGCAGCACATCATCTACAGGTTCTACTCAGCAAAGCCATAATGCCATGGAGAGCAGGCTCTTAGTTTGGGTTCAAAAGCCTCCAGCAGTTTGCGACTGGCCCGCTGGAATGTTATGACTGACAATCCCCAATGTGAGATGGGTGTGAAAAGCTGTTTGTCATGAAAGGTTTGCGGCTGTGACCGGATCAGAGAGGGAATGCTGTGTCAGATGAGGACTGCAGGAGTACAGGTTGATCCTTATGTTAGTTTTCGGAGATTAAATAAAGTGCATGAAAAAAGACTGTATCCTAAAATACCCTTAATGCAACCAGCTACAACAAAAGACCGTAAAAGACCATACAAAACACACTATTTGCATACATCCTACAGGAAAAGACAGACACGTTTTATGAATATCTGCTTCAAAGGCACAAACAAAAGCACAGATGTACTGTCAGTAAATGTACTGTAATTTAATAACTACCTTCTGAATATTCACATGTACCATTTTCAGAAAGCAACTGTTTTCATAAGGCCTCTTTATAGCCAGTGATGGGGTGTAGTTACTGAATAATCATCATGTTTAGCCCTTAAACCCACTTGCTGATTAAAGCTGATTAATTCTTCCTAACAGAGCTGGCTTAGGAGATTAATTGAGTTTATACAAGGTAGGGGGCCATGTGTTAGGGTGCAAATACAGAATGCCCACCACATGTTTGGTCTGCAAAGAGAATTTATGCCTAATACCATTTACTGCATTATTGGAATGCACTCAGATCATGGATGAGGCATATAGTCATATGGGAGGTACAAACTGAAATTAAAACCTAATACAAAATGTTGAAATGGTGCTCTGTCATATTTAGAGTTGGAGTGTTGATCTCAGATCTCCTATGACCACATACTGTACATTAAACATAGTCTAGATCTGAGTCTTGGCACTCACTGCATAACCTAATCTAGAATCTCCCTGAATGCGTGATCCAGCCCAAGAAAACAGCATGTTTGTCACCACCAATCATAAACACAGTCAGCAGAGGGGGAGAAATGAGGCAGAGGAATAACTCTAAATGCAAATGAGAAACAAAAGCTTTAAAATGAATATTGACAAGACAGAGTTCAGTACAGCATGGGGTTGTGATGTATTCCTGTTATCTGCAGAGCAGCTGTGCATGTATTTCCATGAAGGATAAATTACTGCTAATGAAAAGGTAAAATAAAGAGCACGTCATGGAGAATGTGCTGAGGCAGCATGTGAAATGTGTCTGTGAGACTATTTCAGGAAGAGCGTTATCTAATAATGTATGTTAAAATATTGAATATTTTAAGAAGATCATCAATTCAGGGTAGTCATCACTGAACCTCATTACTCCAGCTATATAATACAGTGTCAACTCTTTTTATATATGAAAGCACTCCATAATCCTAAAATGTATCAGTACTATTCCAGAAATACTTTTGATACATTAAAGATCAACTCTATTTTGGAAATGAAATCTAGAGGTTATTCAGGGGCAGAAACAATACCTGTGGAATACGGGACGTCCTGCGACAGAGTTTGCTATCTGTCTGTGTAGATTTTCCTGCAGTTTTCTACAAAAATAACCACACTAGTATTGACAGTGAGACAAAACCTATTACTCAAAAAAAAAGTTATGAGATCTATAAAATGTTATGTGGATAGTCATATTAAATGTGTCTGGAAAATGGGTTAGAGTTTATGTGTTTTTAATATGTATGAGACTGTCCTTTAAAGAGTTTAGATTCTAATTTGAGATATTTTGTTGTCGAAAGTTTGGTCAAAAAGTTTTTCAAATGTTTTTTTAAAAAGTCGTATGCTCAATAAGGCTGAATTTATTTGATAAAAAAACTGTAAAATGGCATTACTGTGAAATATTATTACAATTAGTGTTTTCTACTTTAATATATTTTAAAATTTAATTTATTCTTGTGATCACAAAAGTGAATTTTCAGTCTTCAGCGTCACTTTTCTGATTTGATGCACAAGCAACATTTATTAATTATTATATATTTATTATTCCTTATTAATGTTGAACAGTTTTATTGCTTAACCATGATACATTATTTTTTCAAGATTCTTTGATGAATAGAAATTTCAAAAAACAGCACTTATTTGAAGTAGAAATTTTCTGTAACAATGTGAAAGTCTAACCGTCACTTTTAATCAATTTAATGCATTCTTGCTGGGGAAAAAAAAGCATTTTAATTTTACTGAACCCAAACATTTGAAGACAGTGTATATATAAAAAAAAATATATATATATATATATTTTTATATATTTTAAAATAGAAAAAGGACAATTAATGATTAGGGGTTTTTTTGGTGCAGTGAACAGAAAGGACAAGAGAAGGATGAGATGTTTCTTGTCTGCAGACCTAGTTTTCTGACTAATGGTGGTTTAGTCTAAAGGTGGTACAGGGACAGTGGGATTAGAATATATGGACTAGACCTAGTTAGACTTTAGAGGGGACGTTTTCTGTCCTTCTTACTTTAGCCATGTGAGAACCGTTGAGATTCCAGCGGCGTGGGCTGGGCTTCTTGAGGCGAGACTGTGAAGCGTGCAAGACAACATGATGAGAATGGAGCGGCAAGAATATGAGGCATGTTAGAGAGGTTGTAGTACGTGTGCATGTTTGTGTATACGAGATTAGTCTGTTCATTCCATTTCCTGTACAAATGCTGAGACAGAGGTGACGGTCACTCATCCAACATGACTGAAAGCAGATCTGAGCTAAGCTTCATGTGAAGCCACGCCAGCGGCCTCAAACCAGGCATACAGATGGTCTGTATACCCACTGTATTCAAATGAGTTAGTGTAAATTAGTAACAAATCGAAATCAGGAACTAGCATGAATGTGACAAGGAATTCAGCTATAAACACTCTGTTTAGGATAAGCATTTAAATTATGAAATCTGCAAACCATTCATATTTGATGTAATAATATAGAGCCTATATACAGCGTAAATTTCCAAGTCACATTGACCTTTGTTTCTATGGATCTCCTGTCCAAGCGAACATGCAGGATTGTCACAAAGCCCTGGGAAAAACACACCTCTTTTGCTCAAGAGGGTGTTGGATTGGGAAAAAAGGAGCACCAATCGGGGGTCAGGAGCCGGGTTAAAGAACCAGGGTGAGATGTCACGTCCACAGTATGGTGAGGTAGTTTATGGGTGGGTATTCATACTCATACCCAAGGGTGCAGTCAGGGGGCTCGGTTCAGAAGGGGGTATCACACACTCGTGCTTGGACACACACTCACACGGGTGCGGGCTGGCTCAGCGCAGTACCTGAGGGGGCACAGTGGACAAAGTGGGGCTCTGAGAGATGTTTTTGGCTACCTGTAGAGCCTCTATCCTCAGGGCTGCGAGCACCAGTTCCTCCTGGGCCACAAGGGAGGGTTGAGGGGAGGAAAGGGGGAGTGACCCATGAAGTGGGGATGGGGTAAGGAGGAAAAGAGGGGTTAGAGTTGTACCAGCCTCACGCAAATACTAAACCTGAGGGGCAAAAAGCTTACAAATACTGTACACACACAAACAGACACTCATACACATTTTACTGTGAACGTTGTGTATGTGGAGAGATCCATCGACCCTTTCTAGGATTTTTATTACTTTTACTTTTAAACGGATAAATCAGCCAAAATTAAAATTCTGTCTTTCAGTGGAACACAAATGGAGATATCAGAATATCTAAAGAGATGCCTTGTAATAACAGGGAATGGGGACCAAAAGTAAAAAAAAAAAAAGCACCATAATAGCAACATAAAAGTAGTCCATGTGACTTATCAAATTTCAGAAGACTTGAAACTATACAGTTAAAAAATCTGTAATCATTAAGATTTTTTAAAATGTTTTTGAAAGAAGTCTCTTGTGCTCCCCAAAGCTGCATTTATTTGATCGCAAATTCAGTAAAAAACACTTACTGTATATTGTGAAATATTATTAACTTATATCATATCTCTGACTGTCATTGTTAAGTGTTATATTAGGTCAGATTTGTTACTGTCAATAGTTAAATCAAGTTCAGATTGTTTTATTGTGTTCAAAAAAGCAAAAAAAAAAAAAAAAAAACATTGCTTAAGATGAATTCCA